ACTTACCTCTAAGTTTCAGACGTTCCCCGCACGGGCCGCCAAATGCCGCAGTCTGTCTGGGCACAAAATAACCGAGCCACAACAAAAACTTGCAGATTCCAACAGCAACTCTTTATTCCCGAACTCTCACCGGCACTCTACACACACATTCTGGGAAAAATACACTCCCTCCACCGGGCTCTGCGTACCAGTTCTCTCAGAACTCCCCGAGAACACAACGGGACCTCAAGGAGCGGGCACCTGAGGCAGCAGGATACGCCCTATTCCCAGCAGGATCCACCCTAAACCTGGAGCCACCCTAATCCAGCAGGATCCACCCTAAACCTGGAGCCACCCTAATCCCTGAGCAGGGTCACCTTTCAACCAAAAATGCCATGCGTCCTACTTGGCTATGGCTCTCAGCACCTGTCCATTTCATATTCCTTCCTTACTCTGTGCATATTATACACACTGTATTATACACATATATATTATAAAACTGATTTTTTTTTACAAAAAAAGGTGTTTTTCTGACTGAAAGAAAAACAAGACCATAAATATAGTCTACGTTTTCTTTCAGAAGCTTTATTTTTTATCTTTCATATTTGGTCCTGGAACTGATTTTTTAATATGATGTTAAAGGGGGTCTTTATTTTACTTGGACTTTGGAAATTAGTTCTAGTGGTACAGAATCCGAGTACCCTCCTATGTTCTAGCTCTGACATTAGGTGTCATTTTGATAGTTGTGGTTCATTTTCTTTGGGAATTCAAGTGTCAATCTTGTTACTGCTATTTTGAAGATCATGCATTTCTTCCTTTAGCTTGTATTAGTATGTTCACTTTGTCTTTGATTTTTAGCAATTGTGGTTAAAAAAATACACCTATATATTGTTTCCTTTGTATTTAATTTGCATGGAGTTTATGGCTTTATTTGTGAGTAGATACTATGTAAAATTCTGTCATTTTATCTTCTAATTTTGTCTGCTTTGTCCATTTTTCCTGCTTTGAAAACTTCCGCTCTATATATGTTAAATATTTTCACTATTTCACATATATTATCTTTTTAAAAGATTTTAAAATATATTTTCCATTCCCTTTTTTCTCTGTGCTTTGTAATAGATATTTTTTTTCTGATTCTAATCATTTATTAATATCTAAATCAGCTACATCTAATCAGCATCTATTCAGCTTTTAATTTTAATTATATCATTTTAAATTCTAGAATTTCCATTTGAAGAATTTTCAATGCTTTTTAATTGGCATATAATCATTGTACACATTTATAGGGTACAGTGAGATGTTTCAGCACATGAATACAATGTGCAATGATCAAATCGGAGTAATTAGCATTTCCATCTCTTCAAACATTTATTATTTCTTCATGTTGAGAGCATTTAAAAATTCTCTCATAACTATTTCAAAATGCACAAAAAATTAATGTTAACTGTAGTCCCCTATTATAGTATTGAAAATCAGAATTTAATCCTGCTGTGTTTTAGTACTCAGTAACTAACCCTTCTCTGTTTCCACCCCCTCCCCGCCCCCACCAATACTTCCTTCTAGTGACCTCTATTCTATTTTCTACCTCTCTAAGATCAACATTTTTAGCTTCTACATATAAGAGCATATGCTTTGTGTCTTTCTGTGTCTGGATTATTTCTCTGAACATAATATCCTCGTGCCACAAATAACAGGATTTTATTCTTTTATCTGGCTAAAAATATTCCACTTTGCAAATACACCATTCATCTATTGACGGACACCTAAATTGACTCCACATCTTGGCTATTGTAAATAATTCTGCAATAAACATGAAAGGGAAGATATCTCCAGATATCTCTTAGACATACTGATTTCATTTCCTTTGATTATACACCCAATATAACTGGGTCATAATGATAGCTCATTTTTAGTTTCTTGAGGAAACTCCATGTTTTCCATATACTAATTTACATTCCCACCAACAGTATACACAGTTTCTCCTTTCTCCACATTCTCACCAACATTTATTATTGTTGCTTTTATGACAGGCTTTCTAACTGAGGTGAGAAGATATGCAGTGTGATTTAGTGATGTTGAGCAGTGTTTCATGATTAGTGATGTTGAGCAGTTTTTCATATACTTGTTGGTCATTTGTATGTCTTCCTTGAAGGTGTTTCTACACATAAGATGTTTTCTGCAGAGACAATTTGACTTCTTCCTTTCTAGTTTGGTTATGATTTCTTTCTTTCTTTTGTCTAATTGCTCTGGCTAAGACTTTCAGTACAAGATTAAATGAGTAAAGTGGGAATCCTTGTCTTGTTCCAAATATTAGAGGAAAACTTTGAATTTTCTCTGCATTCACTATTATACCAGTTGTGGGTTTTTCATATATGATCTTTATTATGTTGAAGTATGCTTCTTACATACCTAATTTGTTAAGAATTTTTATCCTGAAGATACAATGAATTTTATCAAATGCTTTGAGGGCATCTAAAGTTCTTCTAGAATTAGCACTAAAAACTACTACAAATGTCCAGAAACAGAAAAAAACTTTACTTTAAATATTTTATTACATTAATATGAAGTGTTAATTCCATGTGTAACTGATATCCCCAAATAACTAAAAATTGGTTAACATTAGCCTCACATTAAAACTAAGGGGTCACCAAGATGTCAGGTTCTCATCTGTAACATTAAATCACCTTGCCTTTATATGAACTCCTCTGATAAATTTAGTAGATGTTTTCAATGTCTGTCCACCTTTGATTTCCTTATTAATAATTGATGGTATTATTCACTTTTATAAAAATTTCCATTATAACTAAATCACCCACAATTGGCAGTACCATAAAAAAAGTGCATAAAATTTACCAATTGCATCAGCCCCAAGACAGAGGGTTCCCAGCTGGTTTCTTATATTCTCACCATGTGTTTAATCCAGATTGCTATGAAAACTCAACTCAAATGATTATTATATCTTCTTCCTTTTCCAGATATGTAAACTTAACTCTGATAAAACCTTCAAGATATCTCTCAGCTCCTTATGACATACTCCAAAACAATCAGAATCTCTCCCACCTGTTGTTCCAAAATATTAGTTTTGAGCCCTGCAGTCTTTTTCTATGCTGGGGTTGATGAAAGGTATTAGTTCTTAATGAAAGCTTTTTATAGTAGTTTACCATTTTATCTGTTCTATATTTTCATGTAATATGAAATAGGAACTATCAACAAAAGAGCTCTTTTTGGAGTCCCAAGCATAGATCTTCTTTCCACTTGTTATTTTTCCCATGGCACTAGGGATGCCCCTTTTCATATAAGAATCACCCTTCAGAAAATGTTGACAAGTGTATGCTTAATGATATAGTTCATGGAAATACAGAGATTTTTTATTTGTTTCTTCAAAATAACAGAAAGTGGACCAAAAAAAAAAAAGATTTAGACTAATTACATTTATCCATTTCCTCCCAAGTTGTTATTTGTCAGTGCCACTGAGCATCTTTCTCATACATTCTGAGGATATGGGACTAGTGAGAAGTTGTAACCCTTCTAAAGGGAAAAGGATCCTTCTTCAGTAAAAAGAATATTTGTGGCTATCGCTCCTTCCTCCAAACTAATCTACAGCTCATATCTTTATGTCAAGAAGTATTGATCATAAAATTGTGTATGTCGTTAAAAAAGTATAGAGTATTGTCTTAACTGTAAGTGTGTATGTCTATAAAACATACACACACATATAAGAATATGTCAAAATGTTAACTAGTTAGATCAGATGCCAGATAATTTTTCTAGGTAATTGATATTATTTTTCTCATTTTATTTAACAGGCATATGGAGCTTTAAATAAAAAACCTAAAGATTATTTTATCAGGGGCTGGACATGTGTTTCAGTGGAAAGAACTTGCCTGGCATGTGTGAGGCCCTGGTTTTGATCCTCAGCACCACATATAAATAAATAAATAAAATAAAAGATTCAGTGACAACTAAAAATATTTTTTTAGAAAAGATTATTTTACCAGGAATTCATATATGTTTTGGGCTTGTCTAAGTACTTGAGTTAATAAACATGAAATACATAGAACAAATCCTGGGCTAGTCTATTCTCAATAACTGTTAACTATTAATTCACCACACAGGAAATAAAATTCATTTTTTAATGCACTACAAACTTAAAATATCTATACTTAAAGCCATGGGTCTTAAAGATCATGTGAATCTACAAAGGTATAAAATGATATAATGAAGATGCCCACCTCCTTTTTTCTATTGGAGAATCATCATGACAATGTGCAAGGAAATCTATGCTATTAGGCAGAGTAATATGAGAGATTAGAAATCAGCAGCTCTGGTTAGCTGACGTTAGTTAAACTATGGGCAGAAGTGAATTTTTAAAATTTCTGGAGAGGTAAAAGATGAGATTATTTCTAACATGGATGAATCCAGAAGTCACTATGCTAAGAAAAAAAATACAGACACAGAAAAACAAATACCACATTATCTCACTTATATGTAGAATTTTCAAAAGCCAAATTCAGAAATAGAAAGTAAAATGGTGGTCATAAATGTTATCATAAATACCTGACATCTGTGTCACCCTTCATTAAATAAGTAAATAAATTTGCCACAAAAAAATGCTGATCAGGAAAGTGGTTTCTATGGAGTTTTATACTTGCCTCACTATTTGGTTTAAAGAGTTCTGGGTTGGTAGTCAAGGTGATGATCTAGATTAAAGCTCCTGCCTTGCTACCTGTTCATCTTAGCCCCCAGTCCATAACTACTCTGGATCTTAGATTTTTTGATCTGTAAAATAATGATTTTTCACAATGTAATTGCAAAGACCTTATGACTGCATAGCATACTAAAATTCAGATAGAAAGCTCTTTTATGATAAGGTCATAAGGAACTTTAAAATTAGTACTATTTAAAGTTTCTCTTTGCTAGGAAAAAACATTTACATATTGATCATAGTTATTGTATTCTGTTTGGGACCTGTTTTAGTCAGGTTTTTCACTGCTGTGACCAAAAAGACCTGATAAGAACAATTGGAGGAGGAAATGTTTATTTGGGGGCTCACAGTTACAGAGGTCTCCATCCATAGATGACTGACTCTATTCTCCAGAGCCTGAAATGAGGCAAAACATCATGGCGGACGTGTGGGATGGAGAAAAGCAGCTGGGGACATGGTACTAGAAAGGAGAGAGAAAGAGGGAGAGGTCTCTTCACCATGGACAAAATATATACCCCAATGGTATGCCCCAGTGACCCACTCCTCCAGCCACACACTACCTGCCTAGAGTTACAACCCAGTTAATTTGTGGATCAATGATTATGTTAAGTACTAATTAGGTTAAGGTTCTCATAATCCAATCACTTTACCTCTAAACCCTCTTGCATTGTCTCACATATGAACTATTGGGGGACACCACATATCTAAACCATAACATTCCACCCTGGACCCCCAAAATATCATTCCCATCTGACAATGCAAAATATATTTGGTCCACTTCAAGAGACCCCATAGTCTCAACAGTTCCAAAAGTTTAAATCTAATGTCTTCTTTTGTTTGTTTCCTTTTTTGTTTTCATTAACTTATTTATTTATTTATGTATTTATTTAATTTGGTATATATGACAGCAGAATGTATTTTCATTCATTGTACACAATTACAGCACAATTTTTCATTTCTCTGGTTGTACACAATGTATAGTCGTACCATATGTGCAGTCATACATGTACCCAGTGTAATAATCCACCATCTTTCCTACCCCCATGCCCCTTCCCCATCCCATCCTCCTATTTGCCCAAAGTTCCTCCTTATTTTTCCCATGCCCCGTCCCCAGTATGGATTACCATCCACTTATCAGAGAGAACATTTGGCCTTTGTTTTTTTTTTTGGAATTGGCTTACTTTGCTTAGCATGATATTCTCTAACTCCATCCATTTACCTGAAAATGCCATTTTATTCTCTTTGAATGCCGATTAATATTCTATTATATATATAGAGAGAGAGATAGATAGATATATCTATATCTATATCTATCTATATCTATCTATCTATATATATATATATATATATATATATATATATATATATATATATATATATATCACAGTTTCTTTATCCATTCATCTATTGAAGGGCATATAGGTTGCTTCCACAGTTTAGATATTGTGTATTGAGCTGCTATAAACATTGTTGTAACTGTGTTACTTTAATATGCTGATTTTAAAGTCCTTTGGTATAGACCAAGGAGTGGGATAGCTGGGTCAAACGATGATTCCATTTCAAGTTTTCTAAGGACTCTCCACACTGCTTTCCAGATTGGTTGCACTAATTTGCAGTCCGAACAGCAATGTATGAGTGTGCCTTTCCCCAAAATCCTCACCCACACTTATTGTTGTTTGTATTCTTGATACCTGCCATTCTGACTGGCATGAGATGACATCTTCATCACTTCAGATTAGGCCCTGATTTCCTTAACAAGACTCCTAAAGCACAAGAAATAAAATCAAGAATTAATAAATGAGATGGACTGAAACTTAAAAGCTTCTTCTTGGCAAAAGAAACAATCAATGATGTAAAAAGAGAGCCTACATTTTGGGAACAAATTTTTGCCACACACACATCAGAGCACTAATCTCCAGGATACATAATGAACTCAAAAAACTTAACACCAAAAAAACCCAAAAACCCAATCAATAAATGGGCTAAGGATCAGAACAGACACTTCTCAGAAGATATACATTTGATCAACAAATAAATGAAAAAATATTCAACATCTCTAGTAATTAGACAAATGCAAATCAAGTTTAATGTCTTCACTGAGACTCAAGGCAAACACTCAGCATAAGTCCCTGTAAAAACCAAATTACATATATCCAATATATATAGGAACAGCCAGGTGCAGTAGCCCACTCCTGTAATCCCAGCATCTGGGGAGGCTGAGGCAGGAGGATCACAATTTCAGCAATTTAGCAAGTCCCTAGCTAATTTAGCAAGACCCTATCTCAAAATAAAAAATAAAAAGGGTTATGGATGTGACATAGTGGTTAAGTACCCCTGGGTTCTATTCATGTAACCAAAACAATTTTAAAAAGGAATATGGTAAATATTTCCATTCCAAAATGGATAATTAGGGGCATAGAAAGAAGGGCTGGAACCAAAGCAAGATCAAAGTCCAATTGGGCAAACAAGTTCTGTAACTCTATGTCCAGCATCTCAAGCACATGGCATCCTAATGTTCTCTCCAAATGGCTTGTGCAGTTCCACCCTATGGCATTGCTGGTTGCAGCTCACATGACCTCTCTGTTGTCTTTGCTCAATCCCTGCAACTTTCCTTGGTTGGCGTTTCATGGTACTGGCATTTCTTAATCTTGGGTGTCTCCACTGCAGCTTCAGCTTCCTCCTCATTTCTCCCTGCATTGCCCTTTCAGGGGCAGTCTGCAGTGACTCTGACCCTGCTGCACATTGCCTGGCCTCCCTGGCCTTCACTGAAATCTTGGTGGATGTCTCTATGACCCCCTAACTCTTGCATCCTGCATTCCTATAGAACTGGTACCATGTGGTTGCTGCCAGGGTCTTCTACCATCTCCAGCAGCAGCCAAGCCTTCAGGGACCACAGCTGTGGCAGCCTCTGAGTAGCAGGGTGTCTGAGGATTGTGAAAAACTTACTAGGCTGCCCTGTGCAAACAGGGTGCCCCACTGCTCTCTTCTCAAGGGAGAAACCATTGAGCCTGATGCCTTCAAGGCAACTTTACTATTATTTCTTGGTAAAGTATTTAGAATTTCTTTAGTGGTGTAATGTCTTTAACAACCATACCTTCCTCAGCCCCAGTTTTACTAGCAGTTTTATGGCTAATGCAAGTTTTTCAAATCTTTCTGTTTTGCATTCTATTTCTGATTATCACAATAAACTTCTCTAAAAGCCTCAACAATATCCAGGCCATTGCTTAAATGCTATGATGCCTAGAAATTTCTTCTACATTAAAAAGTCCATCACTGCCAGCACATCACCTTTAAATTGAACCTCATTGAGTCTCAGAACATGGTCAAACTTTAGACAATTTCTTATCCAGAACATAACAGGAATGACCTCCTTTTCCTGTGAAACCTCATGAACACTGCTTTTCTGTCTACACTCCTCCCAGCATTCTAGTATTCTGAGCCCCCAGCATGAAGGTCCACTTACAACAATCTAAAACTTTTCCAGATTGCATCTCTAAATGTTCCAAAATTCCTCCCACAAATTCCAAAAAGCTCCAAAATCTTCTTAACCACATGGTCAGTTTAGTCACAGCAACCACCCCAGGCCCTGTACCTGGGGTACAGTGTTTTAGTCAGCTTTTTCTTCACTGTGACCAAAAACCCTTACAAGAACAATTAGAGGAGGACAAGTTTATTTGGGGGATCACAGTTTCAGAGGTTTCAGTCCATAGATTTCTATTCCTCAGGGCTTGAAACAAGGCAGAACATCATGGCAGAAGTATGTGGTGGAGGAAAGAAGCTGGGGGCATGGCATCAGGAAGGGTGAAGGGTGGGTAATGCTAGCTCCAGAGCTCTTCACCATGGACAAAATATATACCCCACAGGCATGCCTCCAATGATACACCTCCTCCAGCCACACCCTACCTGCCTACTGTTATCACCCAGTCAATCCCTACCAGTGGATCAATGCCCTGATTAGGTTAAGGGTCTCCTAACCCAATCATTTCACTTGTAAACCCTCTTGCATTTTCTCACACATGAGCTTTTGGGGGAACACCACATATTTAAACCAAAATAGGACCCTAAATCACAGGAGGAATAGTAATGATATGTGATCACACTATGCAAAAGAAATGAAATAGCCACCCCTAAATTCCAAGTAAATGAATACTATTTATTTTTATTATTTTGTGATATTTTTGTGTAAACACGCCATAGTCAACAAACAGTTCAACGGAAATTGAGATGATCAAAAGGCAGTTGCATGCATTTTACTAATTTGCAAGGCAGCAATCACTGTGGCTGAAACACACTTAAAGTATGTTGCAAGTGTCTGCCTTGCACAGGGAGTTTTAGGTGAGTGATTGGTGAGAAATCAGGGTGTGAAAGGAAGATAGGAAATAAGTACTCAATAGTTCTTGGAAACTATCCTTTAATTACCGTCAAATCACACCAACTATTGACTATGTTAAGACTAATAACTTAGACTGGAGTTGTGACTCAGTGGTAGAGCGCTTGCCTGGTATGCATGAGGCCCTGGGTTCGATTCTCAGCACTACATATAAGTAAATAAATAAAATAAAAAGACACTAAGCACTGACAACTAAAAAAAATATTAAAAAAAGATTAATAAGTTATTATTTAAGATTCTTTTTCCTAATTTAAATTTTGGAAGTCTCAAAAGGTAGAAAACTTAAAGAAAAAAATGTTTTAATTCAAATTTAAAACAGCTAATTTTTTCAGAACACACTGATAAAACTGGTTGTAAAAATAGAGATTTACTACTTTATAGCCAAAAAATCTGAGGAAAAATGTTTATAACTTTATTAGAGCTCATCAGGAGATGGGATTCTCCATCCACCCCTCTTGGTACATTGATTTGGGACCCTAAAAATGTTTGCAGGATGGCTCTTCCTGTTTCATATATCACATCTAAATAGGACTATATATAAGCTCTAAAATACATCAGATTTTGTAACCTGCACTTAATATTCTACCATAAACATTTATTTCATAATAAATCTTTGCAATTTTTAATTTAAATGGTGGCATGTATTCCTTGCCCCCCCAAAAGTATAATTTATTCAACTTGTAATAAGCAGTATTCCTTTCATTTATGGAATACCTGAGCATTTAGCATTATATACCGGAGGCTTTGGATAATATCTCTAATCCTTAAAACAATCTTGCAAGGTAGCTATTACCATTCTTATTTTACATATGATAAAACTGGAACTCAGAAAGATTAAGATTTACCTGATATTCCTGCTGGTAAGTTGTAGAACAGGGAATTTGAGCTCAAGGTGCATCCAATTTCCAAACCAGAATTTAAAATGTTTTTTATTCCACATCCCTTGGTGGGGGGGGGGGGGATTAAAACCCAAAGGAAAAGGAAAATTCATAAACACAGAATTAACCAAGTTTATTACTCAGCAAAACCAACTAAACAAAATACTTGAATTCTTAGAGTATCTAGCAAGTGGCAACAAAGATATAATGTGTATTCAGATTTATTCATATGAAGTTAAAGCTACAATCCATGATTATAATTTTAGTAAACATCAGTTATTCAGTGTGCATTAGTTATTATGTTGAGCTCACTCTGACATTCTGTTTTCTGTAATTCTTAATCAGGCTTACTCTATTCTGGCTAATTGCTCCCCAGCACTTCCTACAGTTGCCCCAATAGTGTGTGTAAGACACATAATCCATCAACTTCTTCAACATTCCTCAAGAAGGTTAGATAAAGTTCAGTTCCTCACAGTACCCAACTCTAGAAAACTCCTAATTTGATTCTCACATAGCAAAATAAACTCCATTTAGCAACAGAAAATTCTGTGAAATAAATGTGTGAGTGTGTGTGCATGTATATAGTATATACATATTCTTGTATGGGTTTGGCTCATTTCATCAAATAGGTCAATCACAGTTTTTTGTTTTTGTTTTTGTTTTCTTGGTTCCAAAGGTATTAAGAAAACTGAATAGTATCTATAGGTGTCAGCAGTTAAGTGGAATACATAAATTAAAAAGGATAAATAAAAGGTCAGAGGGGATTCCTATAACCATAAATTCTAGAACAGACCAGAAAACAACACAGAGCAAAGGTTTCTGGCCAGCCAACCGAACTGGCAGAGACTAAGCCAAAGTGATTATGTCACTGCATTTCACCTTCTCTGAGGACACATCCTTCTCCCCTCCCAGCCCAGGAACTAGTCCCTTGATCACAAAAATCTGGAGCAGTTTCAGGTACATTGGGTCAACTCTAAGGTATTTTCCTACTCCTTTCCAGGATGTGCTAAAAAGGCTTTATCAAGACACAGTGTCCTACCTCCTTTCCATGTCCTGTCCTCTCCTCTTGCTTCCTTTTCCCCAGTGTCATCCCTGCCTGTGGCACGGGTGCTTAAGGGAGAAAGGTGACAACATAAATAAGTTCCCTCTAGACGAAGCACAGCAGAGCCAAACAGGAAATGATGTTGTCAGCTTTCCTCATGAGGGTGGACACATTGGAAAGAGCTGGCAGATGAGAAACCAGTGTCCCTTAGAGAGCAGGAAACATTCACAGAGTTCCAGCCCCATCCAATGTTCTCTGCTCTGATGCTCAGAGCTGGAAGAAAGTGCTCCTTGGTCTGTCTGGCCAGGCTAAGGCAGTGTGTAGGATGAGGACTCACCATGATGCTTTCCTCCACCCCACCATAAACCTCTGGGAGGGAGAGGGGGGATTTCGAAGTTTGTTTTAGGTTGGCTTTTGTGACTATCAAGAAAGAAATGTTCTTTTATTTTTTTT